AAACTTATGCATTGCATATGTTGTTATATATTTGCTATATAATTGCTGACATCAAAATAGGACACATTACAACAACATGAAATACAATAACATTACTGCTTATATATGTAATCAGTTGTCGAAATTTCTAGAGCAAACTGTGAATTGATGATACATTATGTTCGCAATATGACAGCAACAACGAATAATCGTTTCTTAAGAATCATGATGAAAACATGACAGCAACAGAACATATATGTATAATGGTTTCCATCCATGGTGGTTGCAAATATGTCTTCAAGCTATAAAGTTTTTTAATTGCAATTCGTTGCTAACAAAATGCTGACAATATGAAATGTTACATGTTTTCGAATGATATTTATGCTGACATGTTGCCATCACTTTGCTATTACAAGAATTCGAGTTCCGTTGAATTCAACACGGCAGACATAATACTATCTTATTTTATCATGAGTTTGTTGAAATTGATTGCTGCAACATATCAGCAAATACACTGCATTTGGCTGTCTGAGATATTGTAAATTCTATTTGTAAACCTACATGTTTAAATGTTTATGGGAGAATCTCGATTCTGATTGCACATTGTTTATATGTTTATATGTTCACTGAGAAAAATGTCCAATGTTTCTCTAGGCTGACATTACTACAGAATATAGGATTTGTGACATTATTGTTGAAGTCAAGCGAGCACGTGTCTCTAGCGCGAATTTGATTTTTATTACATATTCTTTTTTATTTTTTGCCATATTCTTGATTTATTCTTATTCTTAGTCATAAAAACTGTTAAGGAACGAATATCTTTCATCGGACAATCCGATAAATCTATTTACGATTAAATATATGTGATCGAATTTTTTGACCGATCAAAATAATCGGAAATATCCGTTTGTTATTTTTTGAAGAGGTAATCATTATGATCGAAAAAACTGATAGTTTTCTTAGTGTTTATATTTTATCAGTTTCATATAGATTATTTTAAAGAAATTGTATCACACTCACAATAATTGTGACAATATGTATATAATTTTATCAGGATTGGGCAAGTTAATTTGTTTTTTAACTAAGTTAAGAATAATATAAGTATACAATTTAGTAATTTTATATTGTATAATCGTTATACAATATAAAATTACTAAATGTGTACTTATTATTCTCTCACATTGTGTCTGAAGATTGACTTAAAAAAAATCAAATTAAAAGTTAGTAGTTATCGATAAAATGTAGTTAAGTTAAAATTAATTAAATTTTTAATTTAACTTTTAACTTTCTTAGCACTACCAACCCTGAATTTTATATATAATTATACCTATATAATTTTATTTTATATATGATTATATGTAATTTTACATATAATTGTATATAAATATGTACATAGGAGTAATTTGAGCACTGGAAATTTTTTGTAAGAAATTATGGAGAAATGAAAGATTGAAATATATATACAGGGTGTTTGGAAATTAGTAATAAATTTTTCGCACATGTGATAGAATGAACTAAACTAAGAAGAAAAGTTTTCTACCATTTTACAATTGTCGCAATGGTTAACTAGTTATTAATTTAAGAAAATAGTCAAATTCGCCCAGCCCACCTCGCGCGAGGCGGATATTATCCTATCGCGCGCTTGCATTTGGCGATGGGCTGGGCGAATTTGACTATTTTCTTAAATTAATAACTAGTTAACCATTGCGACAATTGTAAAATGGTAGAAAACTTTTCTTCTTAGTTTAGTTCATTCTATCACATGTGCGAAAAATTTATTACTAATTTCCAAACACCCTGTATATATGAAACATTTTATTAAAACAAATGCCAATCAAATGTTTGTTTAACAATCAATCAAAAAATAATGTTACATTTAATGTTAAATATTTAGTAAGTAATAGAATAAGTACATACAGTATGGACACTGAATTTTTTATGTGTCTCCAATGTTTAATGGGCCTGTGTCGGTTAAATCTTTGCTTGTATATACCTAAATATATTATATCTATATAATCATACATGTTATCAACGGTTATAAAACATAATTCACATTTAATTACACTTTTCATGCAATATATTATTTTTTCAAATCTATAAAAGAACGAATCTATAAATAATATTATTCTTTTGATATCGATTTTTTTGTTCAAGTATTGCTAAAGAAGAACCTGTGTGTTCTGAAATGTCCAATTTTATATATTATTATTTAATGTTCTTCGTTTAATAAATTTATGTATTGTTTTTTTAACCTCAATTGATTCGCTTATAGACCGTTCTTTTATAGATTTACTTTGCATAATACGAGCATTTTGAATATTATTTTTTCATATACAAGGTATCTTAGAAATAAGGTAGGAGTCGCATTGGGGGCGTAGAATGCCTGTGTATACTGTATGGCCTATCGCGTCTCATTTTCGGCGATGCGCCGCCGCCGCTGTCGAGTGTAGGCCGTTCTATGAATTCGCAGTGCGGCTTTATCGCATGTTGGCTTAAACGGTTCCTTTCTTAATTCAACTACAGCGAGTATCTCAAAATAGTATCAGACTTTTCTGTTCCCCTCGACCCATTCTACGTCCCCAATGCGGCTCTTACCCTATTTCTGAGACATCCTATATAATTGTTTAATTACAATTTTATTATTTAATAAATTATTATTTTTAATTTACTATTATTACTGTTTAATATTATGTGAATATTATCTTTTTATTGCTTGAATACACGTATTCTGGGATCTACTACATTAAAGGTGCCGACTTTCAGTGTCCATACTATATGTACTTATACTCTGATATTACCAAATAGTAACAGTTTGATCAGACAAATCTAATAATTGGCACTACTAGGACCAATCGTTACAGAAATATAAAGGTTACTCATATTACTAGGAGTGCTCATAATATCCTAATAATTATACGTTTATATAAAATATATCCGTTATATATGAAATATACAATTATATACAATTATATATAAAAAATATATCCATATATATAATATTTTTTCCCGAATATTTATAAGTGTGGTAT